AGAGCTGGAAACACACACGACTGAATGGCAGTGCTGGATGCTGGGTGCTCAGCGCGGAAAGCCGAAATAGACGAGGCAAATAAAAGGCTATCGCTATCGCTGTCGGCCAATCTGCATATGCAGTTGGGGCTCCAGCACCCAGCAAGCTGTTTGGGCTCCGTTTTTACATATTTGTTGCCAATCGCTGCCTGCGTGCGAGGCTGCGAGCTGCGGACAATGACAACAATGAGCAAATCATGGGCACATTGCTTGGCCGACCCCTTGTGTCGGCGACTTGGGTGCACTTGAACAAAAAACAGACGGCGACTCCTCGAGGCGAAGCATGTTTGGGGAAGGTCTTCATGGGGCTTTTCTCGCAGTGCAGACCGCAACACTGCAACAAAAGGCCATCGAGTGATTGGAGCACTGAAATGGCACTTTTAGCTTTTGACATTTCACGCGTGCAGCCAGCGAGCGTCATACACGGCGTATGTGTGATGTGATACTTTTCGCTCTCTCCCGATTTGGTCTTTCCCGATCACGGGGCTAATGCCATAGATTCGACCGAGCGGCCGACTAATTCACGACAATTTGCTCCAAACGCCGATTACAGATGGGGCGTCCAGAGACCAAGCATCCACTGACCACCGGGGACTGTCACTTCCTTCTGCCGGAACGGCCTACGCTCGCTTCTCACTGTTCGGCAGCAAATGCGTTTTTAATTACATTGGCAAACATTTGCGCGTTGACTGCTTCCAGAGAACAAATGCGCTACACGGCGAGAAAACTGTAGGAAAGTAGGGTTATATCTAGAACTATCCCACTGAGAGCACCCTACATTTCGCTGCCTGTGTAGAAGGAAACGAGTGGGATGTCAATGGAAATGGCAGGGGTTGGCCCGAGGATGGACTAGCCGGTGATGAGGCAGTGCATCCATCCACTTGGCCATTTGTCTGATTGCGGTATTTTGCCAGATCGGTCGGAAAAACACATCCCCAGAATAACAGCCAGCAAACAGCCAATAGCCCATGGTAAATGGCAAGTGTCCGCGTCGAATGCGACCGAAGCGAGTGCTCAGAGGTATCGATTTCAGGCTCCCGCTCCCAGACCGCCTGAGCCCCAGGCTCCACCTGCTGCAGCTTGCTCTTCGGCCTTCGCTCCTCGGTGGAAGCTTCTTCGCCTGGCGCGTAAATTTTCATGTCGCTTTGCGATTTGCAAGCATTTAACAAAGTCAAAACAATTTTAATGCACAGACGGGGCAGTTAATTAAAATTGCAACGATCTGCTGGCTCGTAGAGCTGTGGAGCTTCAGAGGCAGGCCCCGACTGATACCCTGCAGGGTTTCCACTAGATCGGGTTAATCAGTTGCCTCACCCAGACTAGAGGGATCTATCTGTAAGATGATATCCAAAGTAGGGTAGATCACCGTCCATCAAAAGGGACTCCTAAGTGGGGCCTACACTGAACCATATTTCATCAATCAGTTGATTAGATGACTAGGGTAGTCGAAGTAACTATTTTCAGTGCTCAGCTCCTAGGTTGCAGACGGATGTCAGGTTGTTCGAGGTCTCATAGCTCCCGAGTTTCTGAAAGGCTCCCTGGGCACAGACCTCGAGCTGCGCTTCCCAGGCTCCTGCCTTTGACAAAATCAAATTAATTTTAATGCCTGCTGACTGCTTTGCTGCTCATTAATTGCCCCAACGGGCTGGGAACCTCCCTTCAGCCCCCATCAGTTGCCCCTCCGCTCCTAGCTGCTTTTTGGCATTTCGGTGCCGACTGGTTTATAATTCAATAAAATTTGATTGGGCATTAATTTGCAATGTCGGCTAATTAATGAGCGCAATATGCAATGCAATCTGCAGCCGTTTCTGGCTACTCCTCCGGGGTTAAGGCCTGCTTGCCCCATCCCGGCCAACCACATTCGGTCTCCGACCAGCGCATCTAATGCCAACTTTTAAATATGAAAACACGGCATTAAGTGCTTTTGTGCGAAAGGGGGCGTACTGGGCTTGTGGGCCGGCCGGTGGGCGTGGCGGTGACGGTGGCGGTGGCCGTGGCCCGGTGGTGCTGCATTAGCGGCAACCTACTGCAGCTTCCTTGTCCACCAGCCGAGCACTAGCCGTCCCGCTCGTTTCGGTGTTTGGTGTTCGGTGTTCTGTGGCATAATGGGCCAATTATTACTGCAATTTGCATTAGACCAACACACGGACACTCAGATGGGTATAGAGATATACTGGGCACTGCGAGATGTGTAATCCCCGAGAAGATGGAGATGGAGAGGAAGAGGAAGCTGGAGAAAGCCAGTCCGCTTTGAGAATTCTTTGAGGAGCGCGTTGTTATTATGAAACCGTTTAGAGAACGTGTTTGTGAACAGCACAGTAATTTGGTTAGATTACCAGGCTGGCGACGAGCCCGCGACGACGCTGTGGAAGTGGATGATGCAACTGCCACGGAATGGGGGAGCTGGCCACGCGGCAAGGGAGCCGAAAAGCACAAACAACCACATCTGCATCTACCAGCAACACCACGAATGTGGGCCAATCTATCACCGCTCAAAGTCACACCAGCAAGAGATTGACTTGAGGCGAGTGAAGCGTACAGAGAGAGAAACAATTGGTTATTCCGAGTATTCATAAATAGGTTATACTAGTGGGTACTGGGAGAACGAAGGGCTCCCTTTCCTCCTTCTACTGGCGTTTATTGACAAATAATCCGAAAGGCCTAACCAGAACCTACTCTGCTTTTCCGACAGTCTCTAGATGAAGTGGTACTGCCACTGAAACTGGCACAATCCCGGTTCGCCCCAACCGGCAGCGTGTGAATAGAAACGTTAGCGGAGGCACGTTCTGGACGCTGCCTGATAAAAGTTGATTGCAAATTTATAGACGAGCAGATTGGCCATAAACTCATGTCCGAGCAGTGGCCGCGAGTCGTGCCAGGCATTGGCACTGGCACTGGGACTGGGACTGGGTCTGGGATTGGTGCTGGGCTGGGGAGAAGTACTTGGAACAGAGTGTGCAGCTGTACCTGTCGCGGCAATCGCATCGATCAGAGTCAATCTCGATCCCAGTCAATCGTCATGGCGATAAGCGGGCTGTCGTTGTCAACACGAGAACCACTTCCGCCAGTGCTCAATCATTCCGGCGATCTGGCCAGGAGAATATAAGCTTTAGAGTTGCGACTTGCAGTCCGCGTGCTGCGAAAGTGAAACCGCCCCGGCGGGCCTTGCTTTGACTCGGCTCTTAATTGAATTAATTAGCTTGCGATCATGCAAATTCGCAGCTAGGCCACAGCGCTGCATTCAATAATGCATTCTGCATAGATATTCGCATGCCATATGTGCCAAGTGTCAATACATCGCGAGTCAGTTGTGTTCTGGGTCGGCCTGGCCCTCCGCCCCAGACCCCAGACCCCCTTCCCATTCACGACTATTTTTCAAAATGCGCCGCAAGCCAAGAGCTCAAGCTCGAGTCAAGCCACCGCCGTTTGTTTCTTCACACAATTCCACAATGAAGGAGCCGCAGTGGGTCCCCCGCCGCCGCACTCTACCCGTTCAATACCGACAGATGCCCATGCCCTATATCGGGTCCAACGGGTCGATCACGAACTCTGTCGCCCGCGAAGACCAGAGGAAAGTTCTTGGGGGAGGCATCCATTTAGAGGAATGCTAGCGGTGGGTCTTCAAAGTGCAGCTGCTGCTGAGGTCAGCGGAGTGGATCAAATATTATTCACAACAAGGTCATCTTGGAGTCTGCAACAGGGATGACTGGTAGTAGCTTGAGATGATGCCCAGAACTGGGACAGGAAGTGTACCCGGCTGTCGACCTCTCCCTTCGGCTTTCTCGCATGCCTCTGCTGTGGAGCGTTTTGTGTGCACTCGTATTTCATGTTGGCAGGCAGAAGCCGCGGCCGGGAGGGGGCAACGCCAACACACTCGAAACCCGCCGCTGCCAAGTAGACCTTCAGACGCCAAACACTCCAACGCCGGTTTCAGCCGGAGCGGCGCAGCAACCAACGCAGCCAGAAGAGTATTCATTTGGCATTCAGCGTTGAGCCAGTCAGTGGGACAGTTGGACAGGTGGCAGGGCTGCAGGGGCAGGGCAGGGGCAGCCTTTAGGGGCTCAGAAGAGGCTTAGTTGGAGGGGGGGGGCCTGACAGTTGGACTTGCAAGAGCGCCCGACGCTCGGCTCTCGACAATCGAGTTTGCAATTGCGCACTTTAAACGCGGCCGAGGCGCAAAATTTTGATCCGTTGCCAGCACGACAAATGCCCCACAAAAGCACCACACACGGAGCTAGTTTCTTTCCCAGTCCGCACTCGTGTCTCGTATCGCGCACCTCGCACCTCCGCAAACGCAAACATTGCCACCTTAGCTCGCAGCTCATTTGGTTATTGTCTGCCCGCCGCTGCCGATTTCATTCACCTGTCTCGGAGGTGCAGTTGGGCTTCCATCTCGACTGCAGAACTGCAGCTCGGCTCACGGCTCTCGGCTCTTGAGGTCTGAGGCTGCAAGGTCCGCGATACGGATTGACGCCTGACAGGGCGGCAAAGTCGAAAAGCGAAGCGGATCTGATACCCATAGCTCCGATAAATCGAAGTAGTTCGAGACCCGAGGATAGTCTGTGAAATCCAAATATTAGGTCCAATGGTAGTACGAGGGTCTCTGGTCCATAGCCCAAGTCGCAGTCTAATTTATTCGCTCATTCATATGCACATGCACCTATGACCGTATCTATATAATTATATGTACCCGATTTGGCTCGCTTGTGCAAACCACTGGGCAAGTAGTGCAGGCGTTGAGTTATTGGGCCCAGAGATGATTCATTCGCTCGCTTGGTCGGGCGGCTACTCACCCATCGAAAGGCGCAAGATTTATGGCCACGTTGATAGGGAGATTGCCATTTGCGCTGCAGACTCGCAGATCAAGTCGCATGCTGCTATATATTGGAACCAGGGTGACCTCCATGATGACACTACATCTACTCAGATGCACAATGGCATTAGTATTCAAATCCAAAGTCTGTGGGTATAATAGCATTTATTGAATGCAGAGTATGCTGAGTACAAATCTCGAATGTCGTATTGGTTATTAGTATTGCATATATGCATTATGTATTGTTAACGCTATAACTAAGATACTAAGTCTGCTGTCAGTCTACGAATGCGTATGTGATAATTGGTACCGATATCTGGTAGTAAATCTTGGTATTAAATAGCTCTCGGGTGAAGGGTTTTCTAACCAAACGTGAGTTCTAGGAATTCAACGGATCACTGATGGTGAACTAAACTATAATTAACCTAGGCCAGCTCCTTACACAACCTGCGTTCAAGCGCTCCCTCCGCCCTCCCAATACACACAGTACATCAAACCAAAGACCCAATCACAACTGAGCTTACGAAATATATAATACCCATAGATTATGCACATCGTTTCCGGGTCAGATCACAAATCCTTCCTAACTCTACTACATCTTGGGGTTCGGGCCACTAGTGTGCTTCTGGGGTTACCTAAGCTGATACTGTCCAATATATGCGTAATACGGAGTCTAGTTAATTGCTATCGACATTGTCCAAAAGGGTAAATTCAATACGGGTGGGTTCGTCAGACAGTCTCCATTTGGCTCCTCAAAGATCCTGTATATCAAAACTATCGTGGGGAACACTGGGTGGTTGTTGTTCTTCAATTATTGTGGTGGTTCCTATTATTGTGAGTCGTCGGCGGTGGTGGTGGTGGTGGTGGTGGTTCTGGGACTGCGCACTCTGACGAACGGGGATCGGGCTGGCTCCTCTAGACCCTGCGGTTGCTGTGATCCTGCTGCAGGCTCACGTTGTTCATCACCGCGCTCATGTCCACCACCACCGAGTCGGTCATGGTCAGCTCGGTCTGGCCCTCCAGAAGACCGCCGTCGTGGCTGTGACCGTTGGGCGTGCCAGCGGGCATGTCCTGCAAAGATGAATACCATAAATAGTACCCAGACCATAGACCTTCGCCCCATCCCCTACCGGATAGTTGACGGAAGCTGCGTCCAATGCCATAAGTTCCTTTCGCGAGAGCTCCTCCACTATGGCGGCGGTGTAGCAGTCTCCTAGCATGTTGTTAGTCGTACGGATGCGATCTCTGGAAGGGAAGTTGGATTATAACAGTGGCTTCTACACGGACTGGGTCCTCCATCCCATACTTACACAAACCAGTCGACGGCGAAGAGCAGCGTCACGTCCTGCACGGGAGCATCGATGGCGGTGAGCACCACCAGGAGCAGCACCAGGGCCGCACTGGGAACACTGGCCGAGCTCATCGAGGCCGCCGTTGCGGTGAGGAGGACCGTGAGCAGCTCCCCGAAGCCCAGCACCATTCCGCTCATCTGGGCAATGAAGATCGAGGCCACGGAGATGTACAGGGCCGTTCCGTCCATGTTGATGTTGCAGCCGATCGGCAGCACGAACCGGGTGATGCGCGGGTCCACTCGCAGCTTCTCGTTCATGCAGCGGAATGTGATGGGCAAGGCGGCGGCGCTAAGGGCGTGGCAGTCGCAGTTGGTTGATAGGATGTGGTGAAGGATTTGATTTGTCGGAAGCGTTATCGGACAGCCGAGAAAAGTGCAACAGCCGAGACCGGAAGGAAGAAAAAATACACATTTATTGTGGTCCTCACTTCCTGTCTTAGACAAGATATTCAAAATATTTGCTAATGCAAATGAATAAAAGATCATTCCTTAAGAAAGAAATAATTTAAGATTTCGGTATCATTTAAGATAATCGAGTATCAGTCCTCGGCCAAGTGGCACTCACTAAACCCTAACACAGAGAGATATCAGAGAGAAAGCGGAACTCACGTTGAGGCCGTGGCGAAGGCGGTAAGCATGGCCTGGATGAGTCCGGCATAGAACTTGAACGGATTCCGACGCACGACGACAAAGTAGATGGCCTGCATGACGACGAACTGGTAGATGAACACTCCGAGGGCCACCGTGATGATGAACCACATCAGCTGGGCCATCACCAGGCCCAGGTCGTCCACGCTCAGTATCTTGCCGGCGATGACGGAGCTGATGCCCACGGGAGTCAGCCACATGACGCAGGTGACCATCTTCATGATGACCTCGAAGATGGCTGCGAAGAAGTCGACCACCACCTGGCCCTTCTGCCCGATGGTGCCCAGGAAGGTGCCGAAGACGAGGCAGAAAAACACGATGCCCAGGGTGTTGGTGCCGCTGCGGTACTGCACGTCCCGCACCAAGACCACCTCCTCGGCCAGATCCTCCGCCTGCCGCTGGGCCTCCACTCCGGAAACCAGGGTGTCGTTGAACGTCTCATTGAAGGCGTGTGCGATACTCGGCTTCGGGAGGTACACGGTGTGGGCCTGCTGGATCGAGGCCTGGAACAGGTTGTCCGGAAATACGTTTCTGGGGAGAGACAAAACAACAATTCTGTAGTGGCTTCCACTGTTAAGCGCAGATTCCACTTGGTTTGGAACTTTGCTAAGGCATAAACTCTCCAACTCTCACACATAGATGGCGCCACTGCACACACTCAACAGGTTTTTCGCTTCTTAGTTGTTGCTTCTTGTAAGCCTTGGAATCCAACTCACCTGCCCAAATCCAAGAGGCTGTCAAGCAAGTTCACCGCCCGCTTGTCCGTGGAGCGATCCTCCGCGTTGTGCAAGTCCGGATTGCCAGGATGGATGAGCATGACCAGAGCGATTCCGAGAGCAGCATTGAAGAAAGAAGTGCTGGCGAAGTAGACCAGCGTGCGAAGTGCAATCTTGCCGTTCATCTTGGCATTCAGGCTGGCCGATCCGGCGATCAGACTGGATATCACCAAGGGCAGAATCATCAGCTTCAAGACGCGCATAAAGAGCTCTCCGGGGTACGAAATCAGCATGATGGAGTCCCCGTGCAAGTGCAGCGGTCGCAGCGACAGTCCTTTGAACCGGTTCATCAGAGGTTATACAAGATACAGTACTATATTCACAGTAAATAGTAACTCACCCAGGACGACGCCGAGCAACACTCCGGAGAGGGTAACCAGGAGCATCAGATTGTCGCTGAGCCAGCGGCGGTACCCGGTGAGCTCGACGGGGGCGTCGCTGCGCTCGGTGGTCTTCGGGGGCAGCTCGGTGGCGGTGGGGGGACCCATTTTGGCGAAGAGGTAATCTGAAAATTTCCCAGATCTTTCCATTGTCCGCGGAGGCACCACCAAGGCGGTGCGCAGCAGAGCGAGGCACGGACGCAGACCAATATGCAACTAGGTTCGATTCGGGCCCAGTTCGATTCGAGAATGCCTGCGAGAGGAGCCAGCAGCGAGCGAGAAGGAGGATGGAAGAGTGCCAGAAAAGGGACGGATATAGAGAGAGCAAGCCTGAGTGGGAAGTCCTTGCGGACTGGGATGCTTCTGGGATGGTCGGCTGGGATGGCTGTCGCGTGTCCAGTTATTGATTTTTTAAGTACTTCACATTGAACTTGAGGATGTTGATTAGGTAGGCCATTCCGGCGGCTCCTGGTCGTGCGCTGGCCTCCTACCGGTGCGGCGTGGTCTTTTTCTTGCTCGGCGGCGCCTGCGGTTCGCCTCTGGCCGGGTCTTCCTCGCTGCAGCGTTGTGGTTGGTGGGTTAACGGCTCCGTTGTAGTGGCTTTGGTGGCTGCCGCTTCCGGAATTGAAGCTGGAACTTAAGCTCGAGTCGCGAAACGTGACCTTCGAGGTGGCTTTCTCTCGCTCTGGGAACCTAGTTGCACTTTTCTCGACACCTTCTTCCCCGATTTGCAGGGAATCGATTTTTCTGAGTGGGGTCAGGCGGGGGTCACTGCAGTTCCTTGCCCAGGAAGCGGAAACTATGTCAGGGGTACTTCTCCGCCTCGCAAATCCTCGGAGCAGAGCTGCTGGTCCGCTGGTTTTCTTCTCGATTTTTCTGAAAAGGCTCTACTAGTCTCGCTTTTGGAGATTCGTCACTGGTTATGTCCTTCCTTCCGCTTTCGTTTTCACTATTTATCCTTCTCTTTTTCGCCCCCGTGGTGCTGTCTATACGTGCGACTCCTGTTTCGCTCCTCTGAACACGACCTTCCACTTGAAGCTTCCTCCTGCGAATGTGCGGCTCTCCCGGCGGGCTGTGCTTTTAACGTTCGGGCTCTCCGGCCGGAGTCGAGGTGCCATAATACGAGGACAGGTCCTGAAGCCCTCGTGCTCTCCCATTATGGCATCTCGTATTCCGGCAGGGAAGTGAAAATGAAATGGAAATGGAAACTGAATCGGAGAAAGGACATAAGAAGGGCTCTGACATCGCACGCATTCGAACTGGCACCGCGTAATTATCTCAAAGCGGAAAATTCCGCTTAAAAAGGGCGATTACGCATTATCAGGCACTGGGAGAAATAATGTTTTCTATGAAGTCCTAACCCTATTTATACTTTTAAAAATTTAAACATGCCTTCTTCTTAGGAAAGATTTTGGAATTTGAATTTCTTGAAGTTCTATAAAAACTACACCTATTTTAGTTTAATGGCAGTGGTAATCGATTAAAGTGACTCGGCGGTTTCTGGCATTGTCCTTGTCGGCCAACAGTGGGGATTGGGATTGGGGGACGTCAGGAAGACGCGGTAAGACGGCGAAAGGGTGGCCGCTAAAAGGCATTTATCGATCCGCCAGAGCGCGCCTTGTTAGCTGTCATTCATAAATCATGTGAAGCCCCTGTCCCTGTCCCTGTACCTGTCCCGCCCAGTGCCCTACCTCCGCCCATCTCGCGGGCAGTGGGCCAAATCAATAGGGCAGCTCTATTTTTAACTGGTTGGCCTGGCCGCCTGCCGGTCACAACAGAGCAACGAAACAACAAATCGTTCTGCGTCTGTCGCGATCCGGCTGAATTCGGTTGTCATATTGCAATTCGCATCTGCATTCCCAGTTGCCAGAGTCTCACATGCACTGATCTCTGGCGGATAATTAAGATAATTGCGGCGACGAGTTGCGACTTTTTGCTGTCAGCTCTGCTTTGATTTTTTCTGGCTGCCAGAAAATTTATTGGCACTTCCCCTGGCTCTGGGATCCGATAGTAGTGGGCTGGGCCGAACTTGACATTGGCCGGGAGAAAGGCCAAGGAGAACCAAAGTACAAACGCTTCTTTGCTCGTCATTTGGGTTATTTATTTCGGTCTATGTTTGTTTTAGTTCTCGGTGAGAACTTTTCACAAATTACCGCCAAGCACGTCAGGGAGCCCTACGACCCAGACTACCTCCTAAGACTGAGAAAAATCGCTTATTAATTGCCTTAAAAATACTCTTTTAATAAAATTTTTATTTGTTTCAGATTTATGTTTTTAATTTGTGATTTGGGTAAGTGATGATATTTTATTTAAATTTATTATAATTTTAGATATTATTATGTTATAAGGTATATCGTATTTAGTTATGTATTTATATTTTATGTAGAAATTTACTTAACATCCCTAGTATAGTCAGGTTTACTATTATAGGCCTATTAACTACTATTATAGGTATAGTCAGGTCAATAAGTATAGTCAAGTCTTATTTCTCGTCGTGTAGGATAAGGAATTAGGGATAAGTCCTGATCAATAATTTTATAATCGTGGGAGTAAGTGGCCCTCTCGCTGCTAATGTTTATTTAATAACTATATTTATGGCCCTCGTCGGACCTCGCTCTGCTGCTTTCGAACTTTGCCCCAATGAGCTCACCTTTAACGATTAACCACAGATTACCCAGGATGGAGCTGGTTTCTGGCACTCCCTGCAGTATCCGCTTCGTATCCTCTTGTGGTTCACTCCGCACTCACTAGTTCTGGCTCGAGTACTTTTTCGCGTACACCACTGCGTATGATTAACGTTTTGCCAATGCAGTCAGTTGGAATAACTTTCGCAGCAGTTTCTGCTGCCGTTGCATCAACAGTTTCAGAATGCGCTGCACCGCTGTAGCCGTCGTAGAGGATTGCTGTCTACCTGTAGTTCAACGGGGGAAGGTGCTGGAGCGGGGTAGGGTGTTAGAATGCTCAGCCGTTACCTGACTTGGGCTTGGGTTCAAGGGCTGATTACTAAGACGAGACATCGCCACCATGTTTATAATAAACATAATAGCGGGGAGCTCTATTCTGGATAGAAGGGGGCTGGTAAATCGAATTATGCCATGAATCACCATGCAAATGGCAAGCCAGAAGGGCTTAAGTTGTTCTCCGGCCGCCCGTTTCGAGGCCTTAGGTGCGGTTGTTATGTGGGCTGTTATGAGGGAAAAGAAAAACCGGGAAGAACCAGTGACGGAGACCGCCACCTTAAATAAAAATAATCGTGCATGGTCATTCTGCTTGGCTCTCGGACAGCTCTGACTGTGCCATGACTAATTATGAGGCACTAGGAGCAGCATTGATCAAGGACTAGGGGCCTTGACGGGAGGATCTGTGACTGAGGGATTCAAGCGTAGGAAGAAGCTCTGTCTTGATTGTTAAACACAAGCCGCGAAGCACACTATGAATACCTAAACACAGGCAACGCGACACGGAACCGGAACCGGAATCCGAATCGTAACCGTATCCGGAACAGGACAGGCTCCGGACTTTACTGCCTGGCGATCGACGGGTGCTGAACGCTTTTAACCGAGCGGGCTCCTCTTGAGCAACAAATCCTAACAGATCGCGGTCGAAAGACGCCAATGTCTCGCTTTTGGTGACCACTGGGCTCGGCAATTGAACGGAAAGTGAGAAACAAATTTAATTTAGTCGGCGGCGGCCAGAAAGCCCACTGCCACACACATTTCTTTGGCTTTGTTTTTGCAACGTTTCGTTTTCATTTGTCGGAAGGGTTTCTCAATTCTGCTTCTCGGTTTCTCAATTCTCTAGTCTCTGGTGCTGGTCTCTGGTCTCCGGTCTGCGGTCTTGGTCTTCGCGGTGCGGCAGCGAAAGAGCAAGAGAGCCCTAATGACGCCAATCAGCCGTGCGCGCCAAAGAGCCCCATCTGCCTCCGTTATATCACCTCGCCCGGCTGTGGCACCCTGACGCCTCCTCTGGTCCCGCGTTCCGACACCCGAAAACAAACGACAATTGTTTAATGCACTTTGACACACTTTAAATCGTGAAATGAATTGCCTTAAGCAGATACGAGTGCCAACACATGCCAGGAACATGGTCCCTGCGAGAACCGAATGGGGAATACTCTTTCCAATGCTGAGCTCTATTAGCTAGTTTGAGATTTAAAAGGTGAAACCTCTATCATATTCCATAGTTCTGTTCTGGATACTGTGTATATTATTAAGGGGTTATATACAGTTGTGATATATGAAAAAATCGATTTTTTTTTATTGCATATTCTTTAAGATATTTTATTGGGAATACTCCACAAAAATTCATAACGATCGGACATTAGAACTGAAGCTGTAGCTATTTATAGCGCACTATCTGCATATAAATCTTGAACAAACTTGAAACTTTAAACGCGATTATCTCAGAATCTTTTTTGGGAAATTACCTTTGCGGTGGACACGATTACTAAAAACTACTAATCCGATCAACACCAAATTGTGACCACTTATTCATTATGATATTAGCTAGTCCGTGAACGAGGATTTTCCATTTTTGAAAACTCCTTTTTAAAGCACAAAAACGAAAATCTTATACGTTGAAAAGTACATTTTTGTTAAAAACGTCGCCATTTTTTTTAATCAAAATTTTTAAAAATCCCTCGTTCACGGACTAGACAATACAATGTACTAACTAAACTTTTTGAATTTTGGATTTCGGATGAACCGTTTTCGAAAATCTTGTCCACCGCAAGACACCATCGAAAAAAGACGATCCGAGAATTCGGCTATAACAGTTTTGTTATGTAATATTTTTTTATGAAAAAATTTAATTAAGTACCCAGAAACATGTACTAAACAACGTCGGTAAAACATTTTTCATAAATATTTTCTATGGTGTCAAAAAAAAATCGATAAAAATCCATATTTTTGCGCGGTACAACTGTATATAACCCCTTAAGTCTTCAATGCCCTAACGCTCTCCTAGTCCCCAAATGAGCAATTCCTCCTGGGGCTCACCTCTCGAGAATTGAGTAAATCATTCTGTTATTGCTCGACTAGAGAGCCTAAATGGGAAAATTGCCCACCAAAGGGTGCGACTGAAGAAACCGGATGAGATATCACGCATACGTATAATAATTTTTCAATTTGCGATTTTAATTAGACCGACCTGCAGGTGCAGGAGGGTATGCCTCTTGAAAATAAATAAGTAAACAAGTCAGTTTGGCCCCAGATGATAGCCGTACATGATTACTGGCCCAATTTCCATAATATATTAGCTCTCTGATACTGAGGAACCATTGCGTGCTCGATTGGATTCGACTTATATAAGGCGGGACGGGGGGAAGAGGGAGGGGGCGATTGAGCCGCCAAAAGCCAATTAGGGGTCAGTAGGCGGAAAAGCCAGGAGACAGGAGACGTCAGCACCGGTTCTAAAAATGGCTTTCTGCTGCGCCACCCAGTAATTAGAAGAAATTTGTCTTTCAGGCCCATGTTTCGCTTTTAAAAGGTCAACAATTCCTCGGCTCTTGCCTCCCATAAAGATGTATAATTATCGACTTTGGAGAGATATCCAGACGTGTAAGAAGTGTACGAATTGGGTATAATCGACTAGTAGGCGCTAGGGTCATGGTTCTTGCAACCATCTACGAAATAACAACATATTTTGCTTTCACAACACCAGCATACCCTCAAAGGTGTCCAGACGTTGAACCTGTGGGCAGAAGAACATGACACCAATCTTTGTTCTTCGGTGGGCCGTCTTTGGCGTCTTTGTGGACACCTGCTGGAAGGAGGCAATAATTCAAAATAGCCATGTTTAAAGTGCCAACCACATTTACCAGGAACAATAGATGCAAAATAAAAAATTATGTTCCTCAAAAGATTGAAGAGGATCTCTAATGATACTTAGATAATACCTAGTAATCATTAGAGAAATGGTTAACGGCTCTTCTCAAAATTGGAACTGAAGAAATATACCCAGGCACGGTTAATGAAGTGGTGGAGCTGGTCGTGCTGGTCGGACAGGCACAAGAAGGCGCCAAGGTTCTGGACCAAAAAAGCGCCTAGGTTGGTGTCTGGGCTAGAAAGGTTGTTGGCCAAAGCTCAGTGGGTGGTTTCCGGCAACAGCTGTGCTTTGTTTACAACCGGCACCCAGGGAAGGCCGAGAGAGAGCCAGTCGGGCCGAGAGAGCCGGCACAAGGCTGGTTGAATGCGGTTGAAGGCTCAGATGGATACTGTTTGGCTATAAAAGGAGGCGCATCCACCCAGCATCCAGCAGTCGGCGTGTCGCGGCGGGTGAAGTGCCTACAGTGAACCCTCGGTAATCGAGAAAAGAGCGTAAATTTCCTCCTAAAAAGTGCAACCAAAAGGCAAGACTGTCACTCTGCGGCCAAATCGAGTTAGGGCCCGATCGCTCGCCAAATCAAATAAACTTCACTCTGCGGCCTCCATGGCAGCCAGGACAAATGCAATTGTGGATTTGTTTCGGCCGGGTTGGGCTGCGGCTACCCGAAACGTTAACTTTCAAACGGGACCTAATCCAATTAACCGAGCCAGCGGTGCAGGGGCCAGGCGCATGCAAATTATCCTCCATTCTTAATTAACATTTAAAGCGCTTCGGAGCAGGAGCTCTGTTTTTTTTGTGAGTTTCCACCGGTTTAAGCTCTTTGGCATAAAAACCACTCGCCAACCGCAGAAGTGGGGGCCAACCAACCCCAGTACTGACGCAAAAGGTATCCGAATGTTAAATATTTGCAACACCTGAAAAATTGAATATTTTTCATTAAAAGTTCAAAGTTTCCCGCCGGCAGCGGCTGCTTTTCCCCCATCTGATGGGGAGGTGGCTTAGAAGGGAGGAGGTCCTGTCTCAACCGCAGTCAATAAATAAACTTTTAAGGTGCGTGGAGGTATTTGCCGAAGGAGCAGGGTCCTGGGGCATGCCCCCCTGAAAATATTTCACATCATCGGATGGGATCACTTTTTTGATAAATGAATCCCCTCTCTACAAGGAATAGTATTCGTAGGGCCTCCAGATCCCCCTAGAAACTAATTTGTGACTAATGGGAGGGTAACCCATCAATTAGTAGTTCCACCCAATCCTAGCAGCTTCCTCTTTAATTTCCCGTCACTCGACAAGCGGCGACTAAATCAATTTACCAGGCCCCGTCCCAGTGGTGGCTCTTCCCTTTGCCGTTTCCAGGCCGAAACCGCGACATGAAAATGGACGACAGGCGGTGGGGCTGCCAACAGTGGTTTGCTCGTGGTGGCGGCACGTGCTGTCGGATTGGTGGCTCGGTGGCACACAACAGATGTGGGCCAATGCCTGTTTAAAGCGCCATCATAATCAGCAGCATCATCATCAGCAGCAGAATCCCGCTCCACTACCACTACGAGGAGCCCCACCCACCAGGCCGGTCATGTTGTGCTTTGTTAAAAGGATTTTCACGGATTTCCGTTGTAATTTGAAAAGTTTTTTGTGCAACTTTTTTCATTAGAATACGGAAGGGGCGGGGGTGGGGGCGGCGTGACGGAGGAAAGGTTAGGGAAAGGTAAAGGTAATGGCTCGGGCCGTGTTAGTTTTTGAAGTGGCCTGCCACCGCCAGCCGGCAGACGGCAGCCGGCGAACAGGTGTTAATTGTTTTCGAGCTAATTTGGCCCGGCGATAATGAATTTTTCGCCAGGACCAGGACCAGGGCCAGGGCCGAAAAGAACAAAATTATAATTAAATTGCCGTGAATGAGACGGGGATTTGAAGGGCTCTCCCAGAGATTCCAAAAAACGAAAGAAATTCGCCGAGAAATTCAATTCGAATGAAAAGAATGCGAGAAACTTTGAATACTTATCTGGAACAAATAGGACTTATCCATGCCGATGGATAAGAACTGAAGACTAACCCCCCTGGGAACAATAAAGTTCCCCCGCTGGATCTGACTAAAAATTTACTCTGTCAACCTTTAAAAGGCGCGCAGGTGCGAAACGAGCGTGCGAAATGGAACCGGGCTGCTCCTCGGAGGTTCCTCCTGAAGGTTAACCTGATGGAAGAGGCGGGGCAGTGCGTGTGTGTGAGATAATTGAATTTCTGATTTTAAGTGCTGTCGAGGCGGAGGCATCAAGGCGGGCGGCTAAACAAGTCACAAAAGTGCGAATTTGTGCCGCAAAGTATGCAGCACTAAATTACGCATACGCCGTGTGGTACGGTGTCGAGAGCAGCCGGAACGTGTAAATGGTTCCGAGTCGGCAAGCCTGCCACACAGCCTGCCTCAAACTTTTGCGGAGGGCCGGTGGCAGGTGGCAGGTGGCAAGAGGCAGGAGAAGCGACCACTGCCAGCTGCGAGCTGCCAATTTGCCAAGTGTCCGCAAACAAAGCGGGACACGAACCAAACGAGACAAACGAGCGAACAACAAATAGTTGTCAGCACAGAGGTCAGTCGCACCGAGCAGCAAATACTCTAAAGTACTAGGCCTTCAGTTAAAATTGCTTGAGCTTCAATACGTTTATCCTTGGCAGTCCTGGAGGCATCATAAATAGTCTTGTTCATCTTTGAAAGGTGGAATATCGTTATTTACAATCACTCTTACTCTGTCTGACAGGAAAATCGTCCAAAAATACAGGACAGTAACCTTCAAGAAACATTCCACACACCCGCTCGAGGGAAGCTCCGGAGAACTCCAAGTGCCGTTGTAAAAAGTTTCCCAGCCAGCTCGCTCATTTAAAATGCAAATGGAAGCCGCTGGTACGGGCCTGGGCCGACCACCTTCCGAGACCCCTCTCGATGGCAAATTAGTTGGCAGGCAGAGAGAAACATAAACAGAACACGGCCAATATATCGTCCATTTGGACTATAAATTATCCAGAGCACCGCCCGGCACCGGCCTGTCATGTTGCAAGTCATATTCCAGATTTGTTGGGGCCTGTTCCGGCCTCTGGAATAGACTCTTTTACAGGCCCCTAATCCGCTTTGTGGCTGAACTTTGGCTTTTAGCTCGAAAGGGGGGAATGGGGAAGTCGCATCATCGCTAACTTCTTAAGTGCAGCGCAACTTTTTGACACTTGAAATTGAGTTTTGCGGTGTAATTGCATTTTATTTGCCAACTTCATCCGAAAGGGACCCAAACAAAAGTCGCAATCCAATCCCGATCCCATTCCCCAGGCAGTGCATTGTAGCTGTATCCATTGGATGCTGTCACTTAGTCCTTGTCGGAGGCACGAGGCAGGAGGAAGGAGGACGGAGGTGGTGTCATCAAATTTGCATGGAATGGCGCCGCTGAGACCCGAATGGCAAGTCAAATGGCGATAATGGCAGTATTTGCCCAGTCACCTGGCTGTTTCCTCTCGAAGAGGAAGTGCTCGAGTTAAGAATGGGTGTCCTAGATACTTCATTTCAGAACTATTTATTGTTGTGCCCGGGAACTCGATTGAATCATTTTTTGCAAATGGATTGACAGGCCGAGAGAAGGAAGTCCTGAGAGGAGGAATAAATAACTATGGGAAATTCACAGAGTCATGAAAAGAAATTATTTGTATACCTCGAAATGAGTAAATTAGAAGCAGTCTATGCTACCATGCAATAAAAAAGAATGGTAAACTATAAAAGATACTAATAAAAGCTTCACTTGGGATAAAAAGTCATTACCATAAAAAAACTCAAGTCCTCTAGCATCGCTTCAACCTTTAATGTGTGTAAATCAAAATGAATTTGTTGCAATTGATGTCGAAGACAAATACAAGACGAGTGCGCTAACCGCAGAAAGGGAGAAGATCCTAGCCTTTTAAATAATGGTTATTGAACCCTAACCTTCCATCATGCCTGAGAGGGAGGCTGAACTTGCGCTACTGCAACATGGAGGCAGAAATTGACTTTCTCCAATCCATTCCTATGCAGGCCCGCTCCAATAAATCCGGCTAGGAACTGGGACTGGGGCCCGGAAAATTAATTACAATTTTTTGAATGGCAAGCGACTGAAAGTGGATGAGGCTGGCGAAAAGGAAATGGATGGGCAGCAGCAATCAAATCAAATTATTTCCCATTGCAGCTCGATGGGCCACCAGCCCGGAGATGGAGAAAGTAAGACCGGGCGTGTTGTGCAGGACGAGGGCGGGAAATCGGAAAAGTTCTACTGCCATCTGGCCCAGAAATGCTTAACATTTCAGTTTCAGGCAGTCTAGGAACTGCCGGCTCAATGCAGCCATAATTAAGAGTGTCCTCGCGCTGTCAGGGCCTCCGCGGCCGGTCCTCGAGACTCCATCCGATTCGGGGAAACGCGAACCGACAGCTGCCAGCGCCACTTCCTTCCCCTAGCCTGTTGTACGTCAGAGATATAAATGAATTTTTCATTAAAACAGTTGCAAATTTTTTAGTTTTACGCTGGGAATTAATTTGCATAATTTAAAGTTAAACTTTCCCTGCGAATTTCAATTGTCGCAGCTTGTTGCTTCTCGCTGGGGTCCCTCCTCTCGCGGCCCACGGGTTTCATGAATGAAGTTTTGGCGCCCTTTTGCGGCGCAGGCGCCCTGCCCTCCTGAGAGCCGGGCTCTCGCGAGGAGCTCGGTTGAAGGCATCTGGTTGAGGCTGCAGCCTCCTCGGAGGATGTCCTTTCAACCGGCTGCTGGGCGATAAAAGCGGCACAGCTTCAACGGCGGCCAACAGTCGGGGTTTGGAGCTCGTCGGCGGCGCGTCCTTTTCGGTGCGAACTTCGGTGCTGCCTCGAAAGTCCCAGGCCAGGCACCTGTGCGGCAAGTCGTGATACGTGATTCGTGCGGCCTAGTGCCCAAGTAAATAAAACAAATTAAATTACGGCCCGAATATGTGTGGCAGGGCCTTTCAAACGCCAATAAATTGTCATTTGTGGGAGGCCAAGTGCAAATCTGTGAGAGCGTGTCGCAATATTTATGAATGCAATTTCCACTGATGGTCGGCCACAATGGCCAGATTGCTTCTGCTTCTGACACACAACTGAAGCTTCAGGATGTTAGATGCTGACCAGTGGACCAGTTGAGTGAGCCCAAGAATCGGATCTGCATTGTCTGTGGCTATCCCAGAGGAAGTCCCCAAAAGCCTTTACCCCACCACTTAGCTTCCCTCCTCCGCCCCCAGCGATGAGTATTGGCTGCATAACAAATCGCATCAGGCATTCTGACATCGCATCTCGGATGGCATCTCTGATTCTCTGAATGGGCAACTAGCACTTGCCACACTCAGCCCCCCTCGCTGGCTAAAAAACTAAAAACTCCACACCCCCGCCAGGGCACAGCTCCACAGCTGCACAGTCCTGCAGCAGCAGTCGTTGTGCAGTTTACACACGACAAGCAGCGAAAACTGGAATCAGAATTACAAATGCAGCCAGCATTTTGCATAATTTATGTCAAGCATGAAAATAACAACTGAAGCGGGCGATGGCCGGGGGCATGCCGAGCGGGGCAGGGCGGGGCGAGGGACCGTCACACACATGGCCATAAATAAGTGCAGGTTTAAAATATGGCAGAATAATAGAAAGGACCAAAGGAGAGCTAGAGCAGTAGCTAAATATTCATATACACAAATAAACATGCACTGCGGAAAAGTCAGATTAGTTTGAAGACTCAGACTGGAGTGGGATGACCATCCAATGGGTTAGGTCTTTAGGAAAAAGGGGGGGCTCTCTACCACATGTAAATAAATCAATAGTTTCGTTTGAAACTTGTTTCGGATTAGTTTCATAATCCCCAAAACACTCTTAGTTTTGGCAACTCTTGCAAGACCAATAGAGTCTGCCACCACTTTCCCCAGTGCAGGTATTCAAATACGAGCTGGATACCCCAGTGTGGGAGTGCAGCATTGTAGTGGTCCAGAGCAAGGGGTTAAATAAAGCAGAAAAGGGGGAGCAAACGTCAACCGAGGACCCTCGCCGGGGGCGGCAGAAGTGAGCCGCGAAGAAGCCAGCCAGAACCCCCTCTGGGCCGCGCCACTGCCTCCTGACCGAGAACAGTGGGCTCGGGGAAAATGGGCCAAAAAGTTATTTTAAGAATCGTGCGACAAGAATGAAGAAAGCCAGAAAGCACGAATAAAGAGAAGAAAGCGTCCATAAAGTGGGTGTGGGTGAGTGGCGCTAGAAAGCGCACTGCGGTGGCTGAGAGGGCTGCGGGGGCTGCGAGGGGGACTGCAAGTCGGTAATCTCGAAACAATTATGCATACGCGCATACAGAGGGAACGCTCACTGAAATCTGTGGCGCGTGAGACTCGACAAAAAGTAGCCCAAAAGCCCGCAATGAAAGCGCAAAATGTTTGGCCATTAGCATAAAAAATAATGGCCAAGTGGCAGCCACACAACAAAGGGGCGGGGGCTTGAATGGGGGGCTGTGAGAGGCGACTGTGGGGGGTCGAGGAGTGTGGGGAAGTGTCCATTTCATCGAAGACTCCATCTTAATCCTTTTCGGCTGCGAAATAGGGCTTTCCTTTCTCTCCCCGCGACACACGCAGAAATCGATTCCCCGCAAGCTTTTAACACGTTCCTTCTTCAAATCAGTTCCATCCTTCGGACCAAAGCAATAGTTTCAAGTTAACAACAAACCCAAAAATACAGAACTCCAGTCAATTGGAAAATAGGACCATCTAAATCGCCTGTGTAACCTAGTGAAGTGCCAAGCCAAGTGTAATTTCTCTCCGTGTGCGCGTCAATCGGCCCGTCGGGAAACCCCAGCACTGCATATTTTTATGACCGCGTACTTGGCCCCAGAATCGGAGGCAGAAGATACAAAATGCGAGCAGAAGTGAGGCCAATAAAAGGGCGATAAAATTGACGCCGATACGAGGCAGGAACCAACAGCCAGCGGTGGCAAGCGGCGGCGGAAGAGAAACGATAAGCGTATCCTGTCGTCAGAGTGCATAAAAAGGCGATATATATTATTCGAGTGTCAGAGCCCACCGAGCCCGTATCCTTGTCCGTGTGTGTGTGTGGATCGCGTGTTGTTGCCGCTGCAGCCTCCGATAGTCCCCGGTTCAAATGCCCTGGTGATTAATGGGCCATTGGCCGTTGCCGACGGGATGCGCATAACTCACCGCAGGACCAGATACGGCCAGTGGCCGGTAGCCGTGGGCCTGGGCCTGTTTCTGGCCCTGGCCTGGGCCACGGCCGCCGCAGCCGGCATGGAGTCGTCGGCCGAGCGACAGGTCCTGGGCTTCGAGGCCATTAAGCCGGGCTCCTCCATTAGCACCAGCACAGAGCCGCCGCAAAAGGCGCTAGGAGGAGCCACCGCCTCCAGCCAGATGTCGCAAGAGTCGTGGAAGGTGCTCTCCCCCCGGTCCGAGTGGAAGTACAAGCGGACGAAAGTGAAGCGCCGCCAGCAGCGCCTCAACTCGTCCAGCAACCTGCCCGGCAGCACCAACGCCTCGCACCACCCCCTGCCGCCCAGCCTGCCCCAGCGGCAGCGCTACCTGAAGGTCAACCAAGTCTTCGAGAGCGAGCGCCGCATGTCACCGGCCGAGGTGCAGCGGAACCACGGCAAAATCGTCCTGCTCGGCCTCTTCGAGCTGTCCACGTCCCGGGGCCCGCGCCCCGACGGACTCAGCGAGCTGGGAGCCGCCACCATGGCCGTGGAGCACATCAACCGCAAACGCCTGCTCCCCGGCTACACCCTGGAGCTGGTCACCAACGACACGCAGGTAAGACTCCCTGGCTTCTTTAGACTCCCTGGCACCAGCTGTATCCTGGCAGGGTCCTCTTCTAGGCGGCTCGTTCCATTAAGAAATTGAATTTTAATTTAGTAGCGCGTGCAACATTAAAACTTAATAAGAAAATCTGCAGCAGGGCCCGAGCGGAGCGGAGAGCAGCTGGGTCCCGCCCCTTAAAGAGGGGCAAGTATGTCGTCAACAGTCGGTCTCCAAGCTTTTATTGCGATGGGTCGTTGGGGACTTTGATGGGGCAAGTAAATGTATCAAAACACTGGCACTGAGAAAAAGTCCACCTACTACCTGAGGATTCTATTCCATCTGCATCACTTTTGACCATTTATTTCCAAGAGTATTGCAGAGATTCTTGTTAAGTTTGTTGCATAATTTAGTTAAAGACTGTAGTCTTTAAAGAGCTCACATGAGGACCTTAAACTCAGTTTCCGACAGACTCTCCTGAGCATATGTCCCAGTGTATGCATATGCCCGCTCCGCCGACGCTGACAGTCATATCTGGAGTCGCATCTCCTCCGGCTGTGTCTCTATCAAAGTCGACATTTTAAAAATGTTTATTGCCCCATCTTGCCGCTTTTTTATGGCAGCGAAACGAGCCAGTGAACAGCGCCGACCCTTGCCCTGCCCCCAGTACTTGCCAGACTTTTCCACCATCATGGTTTTCCCGCTTATCTTTCTGGCATCCAGTGCGATCCTGGAGTGGGCGTGGATCGCTTCTTTCACGCCATCTACACACAGCCCTCGACGCGGATGGTGATGCTCCTAGGATCCGCCTGCTCGGAGGTCACCGAGAGCCTGGCGAAGGTGGTGCCCTATTGGAACATCGTGCAGGTGAGTCATTGGCATCTGAGACTGATTAAAATGCAAATATTCCCCACCCGTGCTTGCGCCCGTACCTGTGCCAGAACCGGGCAATTTCTCAAAAATCTAATCAACTCACGTGCCACGCTCGATTAGCATAAATGCCTGGGAAATGCCATTCCCGATTCCCGGCTCCATCGCCAGAGCTACGACCAGGACCAGGACCAGCATCACCCCATAAACCTTTGAGCCATAAACATTTCCACAGCTCACAAATTATGAGGTCCACAAATTCACTTAAAAGCCTGGCTCTGGATCCGGATTCAGGACCGGGACTCGGGACATTTGCATTTGGCCTTTGATGTTTCATTTAGTCTACGCGTGTGTGAAATGAGCACGGCACGGGGTGGAGCTACGAAGGGGGGCACATGAGGCCGAGACAGATTCTTGGCCGCATGTCTTGCATTTTAAACAACTCCACATGGGCCAGATAGATATGTAAAGAACACACTCTCCTGCGCCCAACTAAGGTCTCCTTCGGCTCGACGTCCCCGGCTCTGAGCGACAGGAGGGAGTTCCCCTACTTCTACAGGACCGTGGCCCCGGATTCCTCGCACAACCCGGCGCGGATTGCTTTCATCAGGAAGTTCGGGTGGGGCACGGTGACCACCTTCTCGCAGAACGAGGAGGTGCACTCGCTGGCGGTGAACAACCTGGTGACGGAGCTGGAGGCGGCCAACATATCCTGCGCCGCCACTATCACCTTTGCCGCCACTGACTTCAAGGAACAGCTGCTGCTGCTCAGGGTGAGTATCCTCCGCATGCCATCCCCAGGGATTCCACTTTGAAAATCTAGAGTTGAGAAAGAGTACTTTTATAAAATTATAATTTTTATAGAGGCTTTGAATTGAAGGGCCTAAGCGCCTTTCCTTCAGATAATTCATTACCGAGCATTCGAATGTTAGCTTTAGTTTCGTAGAAAAATGTTACTTCATTTGTCGGAGAAAAGCTCCGGGCGGAGGCCGATAGAAGGGCGGGTAGGCTAATCGAAGGATGACAAATGACAAATGGGCAATGGTCCTTATTTCGCCACAGGAGACAGACACGCGCATCATCATCGGCAGCTTCTCGCAGGAGCTGGCCCCCCAGATCCTGTGCGAGGCCTACAGGCTGCGGATGTTCGGCGCCGACTACGCCTGGATCCTGCACGAGAGCATGGGCGCGCCCTGGTGGCCGGACCAGCGCACCGCCTGCTCCAACCACGAGCTGCAGCTGGCCGTCGAGAACCTCATCGTGGTGTCCACGCACAACAGCATCGTTGGGAACAACGTCAGCTACAGCGGACTGGTGAGTACAGCGATGGTCATTCCCAGGGCCTCGCAATATTTCATTCTCGCTTGGATTCCTCACTTGGAATGGGGGATGTACAAATAGGACTATAATTCTTTTAATGAAGCAGAAGCCTAACCATCCAAATAGGTGATATATTTTACAAACAATTCCGAAAATATTGGATGTACTTTACAAAAATTACATTATTTCTTGGAGTCAGCTTTGTTGGAAACAAGATGGAACAATTTCAAGACCAATCCCACTTCTGAAATCCAATTCCTTTTCTCTCTCTGTGGATTGGCGTATTCTTATCCCCATTCCGTCAAGTCCGTCCTGTCCTGCCGCGTCCACAATGAAATGATTTATTTGATTAGACAATCCCGAGGCTGCGATTGCGTTTGCGATGGCGATGGCCCCGAAGATGGTGGTGGTGATGGTGATTGCCAAGTGGGGCGCGTAAGTCCTGCCTGTCATCGCATTCGCATTCCCCGCCACAGACGCGTTTTTATGACTCTTTTAGTGGCGGTCGTGAAATCCCGGCCAGGGGAAGGCCGGGCAGGGCAGGCTGTCGGGATAGGCAATCTCATTACTGGCGGCATTCCTGCGGCATTCGTGGTCTGCTTAATCGCCTTTCCACTTGGCAGAACAATCACATGTTCAACTCGCAGCTGCGGAAACAGTTCGCCCAGTTCCACGGGCAGGGCGCTGCCAAGACCACAACGGCGCAATCGGATTCGGGACGCCGCCGACGCAGGCGGGGGGCGAGCGGCAGCGGTGGAGGCCACCTCTTCCCGGAGGCGATCTCCCAGTACGCCCCGCAGACCTACGACGCGGTCTGGGCCATTGCCCTGGCCCTGCGAGCCGCCGAGGAGCACTGGCGGCGCAACGAGGAACAGTCGAAGCTGGATGGATTCGACTACACGCGCAGCGACATGGCGTGGGAGTTCCTGCAGCAGCTGGGCAAGCTGCACTTCCTGGGAGTCTCCGTGAGTAGCTGAACCAGTCCTGCTAACTTTCAGTCGTTTACCTTGAAAACTCTGCTTTAAACTACCTATCCACAGGGACCTGTTTCCTTCAGCGGGCCCGACCGCGTCGGCACCACAGCCTTCTACCAAATCCAGCGCGGCATGCTCGAGCCCGTGGCCCTCTACTATCCGGCCACCGACGCCCTGGACTTCCGGTGTCCCCGCTGCCGGCCGGTGAAGTGGCACAGCGGCCAGGTGCCCATCGCGAAGCGGGTGTTCAAGCTGCGGGTGGCCACCATCGCCCCCCTGGCCTTCTACACCGTCGCCACGCTCTCCAGCGTGGGAATAGCCTTGGCCATAGCCTTCCTGGCCTTCAACCTCCACTTCCGCAAGCTCAAGTAAGTTTTTCCCTCAATTATGGCATGAGAGCGCTATTGTATTACTGTTAATTGGTTTGGAACATAGTTCCCAACACCTTGCAACTCAGAGCCATTATGGGTCCTTGCAACCCTCTTACAGCGTCCATAAATCAAAAGCCACTCTAACCGAAACAATCGATTGCTTATGACTTTCCCGAAATCCAACACCTACATCCCCCTGAACCTACCTCGCTTCCCACTCCACAGGGCAATTAAACTTTCCAGCCCCAAGCTGAGCAACATCACCGCAGTGGGCTGCATCTTCGTGTACGCCACCGTCATCCTGCTGGGCCTGGACCACTCGACGCTGCCCTCGGCGGAGGACTCCTTTGCCACAGTCTGCACGGTGAGTTATCCTGCTCGGGCGTGGGCTGGGCTGGGTGCCCGTTTTCGTTTCTTTGTTTGAGTTGGCGGGTTTCTGGGCTTCTCGTGTGTAAGCAAGCGTGGTGGGTCCTCATCAAATATGACTTTCAGTTTCTGGCTGGCAACTTTGGCGTCGCGCTCATGTGTTTTGTTATTTACACAGCAAGAAAAAACTAGACTTTCAAGAATTATTATTGCTATTTTCTTAATAATGTCTAGAATCCAAAGTTCAACAAGTAGAACGAGGCAAGTCCAATTTGGAGTCTGTATCTGTTTCGGGATAGTTCCCGCCTTTGTCTCGCGGTGTTTTGCGGCTCTGCAGCTACTGCGGAGTATAAAAAGCCTTCGGATATTGCCAAAAATTCGCAGCTCTTCCAGCTAGGAGCGAAGCTGATTTTGACGAGCTTTCCATTCAGATCCGCAGTCCCCGCAGCCTCAACGCCACTCGAAACGCCACTCCAGGGAAATTTGCTGGTCGCTGTTGTTTCTGTTTCTGTTTCGTTTTCTGTTTCTGTACCCACATTCTGGCCAGGCCCGGAGTGCTCCTCCTTTCCAGCTCCCTGTTTGCTTTTGATATTGTTGTTAAGACCCTCGTGTTAGTCCGCATTTGCTTGGCCGCAGGGGGCGGCGGGCAAATACAAACACATGACACGGAAATTTACAACATTTGTGATACTCGTATTTGCATAAATTCGAAACAAGGGCAGGAGCCAGCCAGAAAGTCAGGTTGTGGTCTCTGTTTGGAGATGCTTTGAGGGGACTTTTCCAAAGCGATTGGGGCTTCAGCTTAACCTTCTTTTCCCATCCTGCAGGCTCGGGTCTATCTGCTCTCGGCCGGGTTCTCGCTCGCCTTCGGATCGATGTTCGCCAAGACCTACAGAGTCCACCGGATCTTCACGCGCACCGGCAGCGTCTTCAAGGACAAGATGCTGCAGGACATCCAGCTAATCCTGCTCGTGTGCGGACTGCTGCTGGTGGACGCCCTGCTGGTCACCCTGTGGGTGGTCGCCGACCCCATGGAGCGGCACCTGCAGAACCTGACGCTCGAGATCAGCTCCATCGACCGGAGTGTCGTCTACCAGCCCCAGGTAATTACTGCTCATGCATCTTTGATTGAACTCTTACACCGCAGGACTGGCCAAAGACCTTTAGGCGAAAAAGAAACACCTTTGGGTGTCAAACTGTGACTACCTCACGCCCTGGAAGCTTTAATTATTCAACGTTATTAGTCTTTAAAGCTGCACTTCCAATATTGGCCAAACTTGTTTGCGAGCCAATTATTTACTCAATTAAATCAGATTTTATTGCAGAGCTTTATTTAAACGGGCGGGCATTATTCATGAAGTGCTGTCGCGCGGTTGTGTAAAGTGGCCATTAAAACACAATAATTGCCTGGAAAGCTATCTCCCGCCAAAGAATGAACACACTTTCACTGGCCACCATTTCCGCTTCACTGTTTTCCGTTCCAGGTCGAGGTCTGTCGATCGCAGCACACACAAACGTGGCTCAGTGTCCTGTACGCCTACAAGGGGCTCCTGCTGGTGGTAGGCGTGTACATGGCCTGGGAGACGCGGCACGTCAAGATTCCCGCCCTGAACGACTCCCAGTACATCGGCCTCTCCGTCTACAGCGTGGTCATCACCAGTGCCATTGTGGTCGTTCTGGCCAACCTCATCTCCGAGCGGGTAACGCTGGCCTTCATCACCATAACCGCTCTGATCCTCACCAGCACCACCGCCACCCTCTGCCTGACCTTCATACCCAAGCTGCATGACATATGGGCCAGAAGTAAGTTCCTTCCTCTAGAAGCCTTCATTCCCGAGCTTCTCGAAGAGCTCTCTGAAAACTAGACACTAATATTATCCAGTGGTTGTCTTCATAGCTACAGCAATATTTCTTTCCCTTAAATACCACCTTACCTTTCCTTTCAGATGACATTATAGACCCGGTGATACACAGCATGGGCCTCAAGATGGAGTGCAACACCAGGCGATTCGTGGTGGACGACCGCCGGGAGCTGCAGTACCGCGTGGAGGTTCAGAACAGAGTCTACAAGAAGGAGATACAGGCGCTGGACGCGGAGATCCGCAAGCTGGAACGGCTGCTGGAGTCGGGCCTCGCAGTGGGAACCACCACCTCCACGACGACCTCATCCTCCACCTCGCTCCTCATGGGAGGCGCCCACCTAAAGCCGGAGGTGACGGTGACGAGCGGCATCCATCAGCCCCCCTCTGCCGGTAAATCCAGGACACCCAGCATTTCGGGGATACTGCCCAACCTACTGCTCTCCGTGCTGCCGCCGGTGATTCCGCGGGCGAGTTGGCCCTCTGCGGAGTACATGCAGATCCCGATGCGCCGGTCCGTGACGTTTGCCTCGCAGCCCCAGTTGGAGGAGGCCTGCCTTCCCACACAGGACCTCATCAACTTGCGCCTGGCCCACCAGCAGGCCACCGAGGCCAAGACGGGGCTCATCAACCGGCTGCGGGGGATCTTCTCGAGGACCACGTCGAGCACCAAGGGCTCAACGGCCAGCCTGGCCGATCAGAAGGGTCTCAAGGCGGCCTTCAAGTCGCACATGGGGCTGTTCACGCGGCTCATCCCCTCCTCCCAGACCGCGTCCTGCAACGCCATCTACAACAGTCCTGGTCTAGGGGCCCCTGCGGAGGGTAGCACGGCAGTAGCCTCTGTGGAAACCCACTCCAACGGCCACCACCTGAAGCCCATCCACCGAGGCTCGCTCACCAAGAGCGGCACCCACCTGGATCGCCTCACCAAGGACCCCAACTTCCTGCCCATACCCACCATTTCGGGGCAGGAGCTGGCAGATCAGCAGCAGCTGGGCGGGAAGTATGTGAAGCTTCTGGAGACCAAGGTCAACTTTCAGCTTCCCAGCAACCGGCGCTCCTCGGTGGTGCAGCCCTCGCCCAGCTTGAGGGAGCGGGTCCGGGGCTCGCCCCGCTTCCCCCACCGCATCCTCCCGCCGACGTGCAGCCTCAGTGCCCTCGCAGAGTCCGAAGACCGCCCGAACGAGGGCGCCGCCAACAGCGGCAGCTGCAAGTCCATACCGCGCATCTCCCTGCAACAAGCCACCTGCGGGGGGACCTGGAAGTCCATGGAGACGGCGGCCAAGTCCAGGCTTTCTCTGGGGGACTCCCAGGAAGAGGACCCCCAGCCACCGCCCGCTCGCGCTGACCCGCCATTGAATGGCCTGGATTAGGCTAGAACCCCTCCCCAGTCCTCGTCAATTAGAGCGAAACACCAAGCAATTATTTATCATGACACGCGCCCTTCCCCCAGTTCCTCCCCCAATCTCCCCAATCTAAATAGCGAATCTCCCCGAGAAAGCGCGTGTGCAACTGACCAATCATCAGCTTAAAGCAATCAAACGCATTAGGGTAATATGCTAGATAAGTCACGATAGGAGAGTCCCGTGGGACAGTTCTCAACTATCCCATAGTTAGCCGTCTTTCCGAACCACGCAGAAGGAGTAGTCCGAGGACTACACTTTATCGGGTCTCATCTTAGGTAAGATTCCAGTGCTTGCATTACTTGAGTAGAGTTAGGAAACTAGATCTCCAGTCGATTTTACGGGAAGGAACAGACCTCTCAGAATTCGTTGCCAAAGGTATGAAAGTCCAGGGGTTTTCCATTTTTATCCTTATGAAACAGGACTAATAAGATACACTTTTCTTTAAATACGCTAACCTTACAAATTTTGATTTTATTCAAGGCTTACTTATATATTTGTTTAAGCTAAGTTAATTATTTCAGTAGAGTATTTTATTATTATTCATTACTATTATTATTATTTACATTTTTAATCTATCATCTAATTTAAATCAAATTATTATTTATTTTTTTCTTTTTATTTCAGAAAACATTCTTTCAAGGTGGTATGTATCTCTGCGCTTATAATTTGTTCCTCTTAAAGTAGGATAAGTCAGTAATTTGGTTTGAAATGTGGTTCACCCTGGGGGAGCCCAGAGGACCCTTACGCAGTACTGTAGTATTATAGATGGGCTAGCTTTGGTTCCTCCCGCGAGCTGTGATTGACCGCCGCGGTGGCCCGATCTTCCACCTTTCGCCTCCTAGGCTAAGTAGCTAAATAGTTGTTTGTTTTCTCGTTGTTGTGCCGCCGCAGGGGCAGTCGTTCGCGTCCGCGGCGTTCTACAGTGTATCCAGTGAGCAATACTAAGTATCGTACTTAAAGTTTAGAGCCCAGAGCCCGAGTAGTCTAGGGGTAGCAGTCAATATGATTAATTATCACGCAGACCATAAGTCATGTAGGAGTCCAGAGAGATGTTAGGGCGAAAGCCATCACTGAGAGCTGCCCGACTAAGCCGTAAGTTTAGCATTGTAGTCCGATTCGGTTCCAGACCCCACCATCTCCATCTCCACCTCCACAGTCCACACTCTATCGGATAACTTGAATAAACAGAAAAGTCTAAGCAGAAATGCCAAGCCAGAATAATGATTAATTAATTAAACTTGTTTTATTGAGTGCCACCGCCTGGGGACGAAGACCAACGACCACGGATTCAGTCCCACCCCAGATGCAGATACAAATGTCGGCCAGGCCAAGAGAAATGACTTTCCATAGAGCCGTGAAATGAGTTGCCCGAAAGCGATTCCTGCACAAAGGCCACCGAAACTAATAGAGTTCGGTGATTAAGTTGACGCTGCAATTTGTTACCATAAATAAATAAATAAATCGGATGACCGAAAGCGGCGGGCGGTCGACCCGACCTGAGCTCCTGCGAGCTCCGCTTCTTTATCCAGCGCTCTCGTCCTGTGAATCCTCGTGGGTTTGTTGGCGTGTGAATTTATCTTTATGCTCGTAAAACGTAAAACAAAAGCACATGAAACGGAATCGGCCAAATAAACAGTGACGACAACCTCTACCAAGTACGGTGGGTATGTGAGCCAACAGTGCACTGGAAGAAAAGTTCGGGGAGAGACCAGGTCGAGAGGATGATTTTTATTTATTTTCTCCAAGTGGAGTTCGAAATCAGAGGGGCTAGATGCGGTGGCGACACTCTCAGCCGAACGAATGAATGCGCCAACATTTTTCATGGCTCCATTTGGCGGATCGCCCTCCGACCTCCGCCCCTCCTTCCTCCTCCAGACTGACGCATCAGGATTTATCCCGACGCACTTTGTTGCCACTTGGCTCGCAGTCGGAGGTCGCTGGCGCGAGGGTCGTAGCTCGGAGGTCATGCTCCGCTTCCGCCCAATAAAACGGACCTGCCTGTCTTTACTTTTGCTTTATTACAGTTGAAGTACCTAGCCCGACGGCTGTCACAGCGCCGAAATGTTTATTTATTGCACATATTTGCCCCAGATGTCGTCCTGCTCCTCCGGAATGCTGTTCTTACAGCTGCCGACATTTTGTGGCGTCGCCAAAGTTGCGCAAATATTAATTTTAATCAAGCTAATTAATATGGTCAAGTCGGATTCTGGAGGAAAAAGGGAAAACAACAAGAAAGGAAAGACTTAGGGAGTGGCCGAAGTTTATTTACCCTCTGTCAAATAGTACTTAATTTTTTGGATAGACGACTCAAAAATATCTTGTTTCTTAAATGTTGAATTTATTGGTGAATTTATGGGGAGGGCCCATAGGTCCAAAGCGATGTCTATATTTTCGTCAGTTTTCATCCGATCCTTGAGCGGAATACCTTAAACGATTTCTATATCGATTCCCCACCAATCTGCATCAAAACCCCAAGGCAAAAATATTTTCAGATTTTTCGTCAATTTTTCCATGAAGACTCCCATGAAAACTGGGGAATGTATGGGGAGTACCCCTATGAGCCACTGCGAAGTCCATATCTTTGCCAGTTTTCGTCCAATCCTTGAGCGGAATACCTTAAACGATTTCTAGATCGATTCTCCACCAAACTGCATCAAAATCCCAAGGCAAAAATATTTTCAGATTTTTTGTCAATTTTTCCATGAAGACTCCCATGAAAACTGGGGAATGTATGGGGAGTACCCCTATGGGCCACTGCGAAGTCCATATCTTTGCCAGTTTTCGTCCGATCCTTGAGAGGACTATCTTAAACGATTTCTAGATCGATTCTCCACCAAACTGCATCAAAACCAGAATGCAAAAATATTTTCCGATTTTTTGTCAATTTTTCCATGGAGACACCCATGAAAACTGGGGAATGTATGGGGAGTACCCCTATGGGCCACTGCGATGTCCATATCTTTGCCAGTTTTCGTCCGATCCTTGAGAGGACTATCTTAAACGATTTCTAGATCGATTCTCCACCAAACTGCATCAAAACCAGAATGCAAAAATATTTTCCGATTTTTTGTCAATTTTTCCATGGAGACACCCATGAAAACTGGGGAATGTATGGGGAGTACCCCTATGGGCCACTGCGATGTCCATATCTTTGACAGTTTTCGTCCGATCCTTGAGCGGAATACCTTAAACGATTTCTAGATCGATTCTCCAACAAACTGAATCAAAACCAGAATGCAAAAATATTTTCCGATTTTTTGTCAATTTTTCCATGAAAACTGGGGAATGTATGGGGAGGACCCATATGGTCCAAAGCGATGTCTATATTTTTGTCAGTTTTCGTCCGATCCTTGAGCGGAATACCTTAAACGATTTATGGATCGATTCTCCACCAATCTGCATCAAAACCCCAAGGCAAAAATATTTTCAGATTTTTTGTCAATTTTTCCATGGAGACACCCATGAAAACTGGGGAATGTATTGGGAGTACCCCTATGGGCCACTGCGAAGTCCATATCTTTGCCAGTTTTCGTCCGATCCTTGAGCGGAATACCTTAAACGATTTCTAGATCGATTCTCCAACAAACTGCATCAAAACCAGAATGCAAAAATATTTTCCGATTTTTTGTCAATTTTTCCATGAAAACTGGGGAATGTATGGGGAGGACCCATATGGTCCAAAGCGATGTCTATATTTTTGTCAGTTTTCATCCGATCCTTGAGCGGAATACCTTAAACGATTTATGGATTAATTCTCTACCAAACTGCATTAAAACCCAGAAGCAAAAATATTTTTCGATTTTGTTCCATTTTTTGTGGGGAGACTAAATATTTTATTATAATTTTCAGTATTTAATTTGCTCCGAGTTCTTCAAGACCTCACCCTTATCCCAAGACCCCTACAAAGCCCCTTTAAACCACTGGGGCTCTGCGCCCGGTAATGTTCTTGCGGCATTGACAAATGGGCAGCTGGGTCAGCTGGGTCAACAGGTTAGACCCAGTTTTTCGCACAAAAAGGCCGCCACCTTTTGTTTCCACGACAGATGGGTCTCTTTGGTGGCCATGCGGTCGCTTCATTAAAGGCCTGCCCCGGGCCTGGTCGGCGTCCGTCCCAGTCTGGGTACAAAACCCACTTAATTAGCACCCGCTCAAAAGGCAATTTACGCATATGCCAAAGTGCATTAAGTGGCAGAGCTGTACTGATGCCTCTGCGGAGGGTGTCCCTGCGGAGCCGCACGCGCCAATTCCCGCTAATTATTCAGGATTATCATCGGGGGCCTGCTCCAGTACTCATATACTCATACATGTGTAAGTGGCTGCCAGAAGGGCTCGAGGGTCTTCGGCGTGGGGGTCCCAGAAGGAGGGGTCTCCCTCCATGCTGCACTTTATTTACCTTTTGGCGGAAAGTGCCCAAGCTACGCGCCCGCCACAGTCTTCTGTCTGCTGGAGGGAGTTGCAAGGAGGAGGAGGCACATAAAGCGACACTAAGTTATTTTCAATCAATAAAAACAACATAAACAAAGAACAAGCCGTAAAAAATACACCCACGTGGGCCACACACTCCTCCGTCTCTGCCGGGAGCAGGGAAATGAAAGGAAACCACTCTGCTCCCAATTTGCCAATAAATTTGCCTTCATGCACTGCCTGTAATTCAAGAGGAGCGAGTGAGCTGAAACGGCTCCACGCAACAGGGGAATTGAGGGGCGTCGTGGGGCAGGCCGGGGCAGCGGAGCGTGAGGCACGCCGAATTGTGAAGATGTTGGCCAAAAAGTTTTCCCGCCTGCGCTTTCGCTCCTCCGACTTTTCTTTCTGGCTCGTGACCGTGAATGCGCTGTCATAGCGGGAGATGACAAAATATGTCCTCCTTCTTAAAGGTCCTCCAGGTCCCTCCCTCCCCGTGTTTAATCAGCCATAAAAATATTCACGTTAAACATTTTCCGCGCTGATGACTATTTGCGCTTTTAATTGACAGGCCAGACCCCGGGGGATAAGTGCGCTGGTGGGGTTTAAGACAATCGGATCATGAAAGTGCACAAACAAATGGAAGAGCTTTAAATATATGGATACCATCCATACTTTAAGATTTCGTCACTGTTGTCCTATGCTTTAATTTCCACTTTCGTCACCTTTCTTTTAAGTCGAAAACCAGACAGAGAGGTGGCGGGCCATAAGCGCTCTAATTGGTTATCCTTCGGGGCTTGGCGGCGAAGGCATCACGCCCCACTGGCAGGAGGTAAG